GACACTTTTGTAAGCACTGCAGATTCAGCCGTGAACAAAACAAAGGCCCTGTCTTAGAGTTTATATTCTAGTGGAGCAGAAAGTCAATAAACAATCAAATATATAATCAGGTAATGATAGATGCTAGGATGAAAGATAAATCAGGGCAAAAGGAGAGAGAATGGAGGGAGGTACTATTTTAGTTAGGGTAGTCATATCTGAGCAGACATCTTAAAGAACTGAGGGAGGGGTCGTGCAAATGTCTGAGGGAGAGAATTGCAGGCAGATTCTGAGGTGAGAACATGCTTGGCAGGTGTAAGCTACAATGAGGCAACCGGTGTGAGTGGAGCAACAGGAGGGAGAAGGAGAGTGGTGTGTGATAAAGCTGAAGGAAAAGCCAGAAGCTGGATCCTGTAAGGCTTTGAAGACCTTAATAAGAACTTTCAATTTTTACACTGAGAGGATTGGAAAGCCCCTGAAGAGTCTTGAGCAGAAAAGTGACGTGATCTAATTTACATTTTAAAATCATGATTCTGATGGCTGTGGGGCAAGCTGGAAATGGAGACGAGAGTCAGGAGTTGGATCCAGAAACCCAGTTTGGATGCTCTCACAGCAATACAGGTGAGAGACGGTGATGGCCCGGAGCACCAGATGAAGGAGCTGTGGTCAGATTCAGGATATAGTTTTAGCGTACAAGTTAATGAATTAGATGTAGAGAAAGAATGAATAGATTGAGAAAATATTTTTTTTCAACACACAAATTGCACCTACAAATTGACTAGGAAAAAAGCACCTACAAATTGACTAGGACAGGGCAAAGCACCGGTCAGAAAAATGAGTAAAGAAGAACACAGAAGAGGAAACCCAAAAGACTAATAAGTTTATGAACAAATGCTCATTCTCACTAATAATCAGGAAAATGCAGTTAAAGCAACAGTTAGATGACACTTTTCTCATTTGTTGTTATTGTTATGTGCCATCGAGTCGGTTCCGATTCATAGTGACCCTATAGGACAAAGCACAACTGCCCCATAGGGTTTCCAAGGAGCAGGTGGTGGATTCAAACTGCTGACCTTTTGGTTAGCAGCCAGGCTCTTAACTACTGTGCCACCAGGGCTCCACTTTTTCTCATTAGATAGAAAAAATTAAAATTGGTACTGTTTCTGGTACCAATGAGAGTATGGAGAAGATAGAACTCTCACACATTCCTGGTGGGAATGTGAATTATTACAAATCTAGGAGAAAGTAATTAGGTAACATCTATTAACATTAAAAGTGCACACACATTTCCTTTGACCTGGAGGTTCCTTTTTTGGAAATTTATCCTAGAGAAATAAAATCCTCATCATGTACAAGGATGTTTACTGCAGCATTGTTTGTAGTGGGAAAAATCTGGAAACAACCTATATGTTCATCTTTAAGGAAACGATGGAATAAGCAGTAATTCATCCACATCTTTGATTTCTGTTGAGTTGGAGGGAGTTCATGGTATATTGTTAGGTGAAGAAATCAAGTTGCAGAATAATGTATACGATTGGATCCCATTTTTAGAAAAAAATTATATATTTGCATGCATATTTATATGAGCATGGATTAAGATATGGAGATATCTATAGGAGGTTAACACTGGAAATATCCTGTGTGTTTTTAATTTTGGAAGAGGAATTTAATGAAGATTTAAATCAAATATTTATTGAGACCTGGGTTACAACGTGCATAATGTGCAGTGTAGCATCTTTCAGGTTTGACTTTCCAGTCTTGGCAGGTGCTCAAGCTCCTGGATGAAGATGGATAACAGGTTCTTTATCTCTTAAATAATATGTAAATTGGCTTATATTTCCTCAAAAACATAATTGAAATCTTCAAAGTAGAGAGTAGGGACACTGGTATTTTTTTTCATTCCTAACTGTTCTAAATGGGGGAGAGTAATGGAATTTAATCAAATATAAAACTGAATTATTTTGATCAATTTTTCAATATAACCGTTTATCCCTTTGGACCCCATTTTTTCTTCTATATCCTGTCTCTTTTACTAGGACCCCAGTATTCACTCCTAGATATGTCAGATATGTGAGGTGAGAGACATTTGGAGCAAATGGGAAATCACATTATTAATGTAATGCCAGCCAGGAAATCTTTAATCAGGTTAGGAGCCAGACTGATTTTACGTAAACTGTTTATTTCCCAATATCTTTTTATTTCTCATTCAGCTTTGTTATCTCCAAATTCACTTCCCTTCTTTTCTTTGCTTATGTTCTGCTCCTAAACACAAAATGGCTCATTCTTGTGAAGAGGGCATTTGGCACACTTGTATCTTAATGAAAGATTAACAGTTTTTTTTTAACTGGCCTGTTTTTCGGTGGCTAAAGGCCACTGAATGATTTACCAAATTATCATAGTTGGAGTTCTCTTTAGTATAATTTATTTGCTCTCATAGACCTAATGTGAGTGAAAATGTTTTTTGACTGCAAATTAGAAGTTATGGAGAAGAGGCAAGGAGCTTTCTGTGGATACTCTCTTCTGAATTCTTGGTTTAGTGAGATATACACACAGTTATGGAGTCAGTTGAGCTGGGTTGCTGAAGTCTATCTCCTGTTTTTCAGAAGTTGCCTTGTCAGGGTCCTTGCTTCTTATCAGAAATCTGAGAGAAGCTGCATTAGTCCTAGCCTTCTAAAAGCTAGTTGCCAGATGGACCAGAGAGAGTTATAGAAAAATGACATGAGGATCATAACAACCTAAATACTTTTTAACTATGAAAAGTCTTCTGGCCACAATTTTTCCCTGAGATAAGAATAATGTATGTAAGAGATATGTCCATTAAGACTGGTGAAATCTCTAAATGTGTATTTCCAGAGACACAGAAATAATTTACGGTATAAAAATTTAATGTTCAAGGACTGTTCTTTCCCCTTCCCCCCCCCTTTCTTTGGCAATTCAGTCTTGCTAAATCTATGCGATTAAACTGAAGACCTCAAGATTCCAACTCTAACTTCTAAACTTAGGCCTCTTCTATACCTGTGGTGGGACTGTGAACCCATGGTAGGGATCTACACAGTCGATTGGATTGTGCTAGAAGATGTGGAGCTGCTCTTTTCAGGTTGTACCTGGGTAGCATGAAGCATTTATGAAATATTTTATACTTTGGACGTGGTCTAAAGTCTGGTCTCTTTCCTTTCATCAAACTTCTGTGAAGTTTGTTTACCAAGTTTCCTCGAAAGGCATCTAGTTAGTCCAAGAGAATTTTACACTTTGAATTATGGACTCTCAGATTTTGAAGAAACCATAAAGATAATCTGTTGCAACCACTCTACTGATTCCTAAGGGTCTTCTCTGCAGCATTCCCATGCTTAAGCTCTTTTAGATGTTCTGCTTCCTGTTATACTGATATAAAGTCTGTTAGCTTGTACCTTCCATTCATTGGTCTTATTTCCTTCAGGCCATACAAAATATTCTAACTCATGATGGACCTTTATCTATTTGAAAGTAATTGTCTCCTTGTATTTTTTCCCCAGGTGACACTGTGCGACTTTCTGCTCAGTTTAAACGAATTGAGTCCCCTTACCATCATGGGTGGTCTTTCTTTTCTGAAGGCACTCTAGTTTATCCATATCCCCGGACAGAACTGAATGTAATACTCAGGGCTTGGGCTAATCAGCACAGAAGAGGGCAGGATAAAAATCAAATCCCTAAAAACTATGCTTTTAAAGCATTAATTTTTTGGAAGGTACATCTGTCTCCCAGCTACTAACTTGTGTTCCTATATTCTGCTTATTTAACTTCTTTCTCCTAGCTGCCTCTGTTTGAAAAGTGCTCTTTACAAGTTCATCAATTTGCTATTCCCTCCATGTCCCACAAACTAGCTTCCTAGTTTGTTACTGATTTGCTGTCACCCAGTTTCAAAAGCTGTGGAGTCATCACTTTTTTTTTTTTTCTTTTCCTTACTCATATGCAGCTAGTCATCATGAAATATTAATTCCTTCTGGAAAATATCTCTCATATGAAAAATCTCTCCTATTCATTTTTTTTCCATCACTTACTACTCCAACTACTTGAGTTCATATCTGTGATCTTTATCCTCTTCAATCTATTTTGTACAATCACAATATTAACATTCTTTCTTGTAATAAAACTTATTCTCTTCAATCTCTTCCTTAAACATTCCAGAAGGCTTCTAGTTGCCTCAAAAAGAAAGTGCAAACTCCCAGTTTGTTTTTAAACTCCTTCTTCTAATCCCACTTTCTAAAATTATATCCCATAATGCCCCCCATGAGCCTGCTGCTATAACAAAATTGCTTACTTTCTCTAGAACATGGCATGGCGGTCTTTAACCCCTTTGCCTTTCTTCTACTCTTTCTATTTCACTCGGCATATCAAAATCATATGCATATTTTGAGACACATATCATATACCACCCCCCCTTCCTCATGAAGTTACCCCCTTTAACTTTTCAACTCAAGAGGCTTCAGAACTCTTACTGTACTGTCCATATAGACTATTTTTTCCTTTTTTTAAAAAAAATTGTCATATACATGTATACTAAATCACTATATGTTACAAGCTACTTGATTGCAAGCACTTTATTTTTCTGTATACCCTTTAGTGCTAGTACAGTGTCTTGTACACATTAGGCCCACTATGAGGGATTATTGATTGACTGGTAGGTTAGGCTATCACAGAGACAAAATAGTTGTCAAAGAAAATTATTATACATTTCTTTAATCAAAATGTTTTAAGAAAGTATCCAGTCTCTCTTGACTGAATAATATAAGTATCAATCTATAAAACAAACATTTGGAAGCTGAGGTTTGTGACTGAGAGGTCTGAAAATGGTGAAATTTCCAAAGGGCAGAAACCCTGCAGATGTATGTATAGATTAAAGGGATTTTACAATTATAATCCATTTAGGCAATGGCTAGGATATGGCTTATATCTGAGGGATGAGAATCATAATGATCAATTGTCCTATGGACCTTCCTTTTATTTACTCTTATTTTTCTACCTTGTTGTTGTGCTTCCTTCCTTTACTTGCCTTTGCCCTTTGCTGGGGCTTCTACTTTTTTACCCTTTACTTCTGCTTCTTTCTTTCCTTTAACATTGTCCTTTCCATCATCGCCTTTCTTTCCTTTATCCTTTGCTTGGGCTTCTGGTTCTTTTGGTATTCCGGCATCACCCTGCTTTGCTTTACCTGCTTGTCCTTTTGGTACTCCAGCTTCACTCTTCTTTGCTTGGGATTCCTGTCCTTTTGATATTCCAGTGTCGCTCTTTTTTGCTTGGGATCCCGATTTTTTTGGTATTCCGGTATCACT